GTTCATATGTCTAAAGGAAAAATAAAAAAAAAAAAAAAAACATATTTTATAGAAAACAAAAACTAAAACATTAAAATAGGAAAAACCCATTCTTGTCCATATGAATCTTCTAAATCATTAATTTCATTTGATTCCCATGATTTTCTAAGACCCAAAAGACGTGATGGTAAAAATCCATTTTCTGCCATTATAACAAGATATGAAAAAAAACCAGCACCGGCTTGAATTAATCCTATTTGTCCGTAAGCCATTGATATAAGACTATTTTTTATATAAATAAATAAATAAATAAATAAATAAGTAAAGTTTTTTTCTCTTTTTTTTTTCTTCTTCATTTAAATGAAAAAAAAAAAAAAAAAACTAACTACCGTTGATTAACAAGTCGATCATGTTTTGGATCTCTTGGTCGTCTTTTCATAATATCATTTTCCCCTTTTTCATAAGCTAATGATATAGCTGGAATCATATCTGTACCCAAATCAATACATAATATTGTTATTGTTCCTAATGCTAATGGCGTATCAGTTGTTAAATAAATTAAAAATGGAGTTATTTCAGGTATATTTGATGTTAATGTATATGCAATGGATTTTTTTAAATTATCAAATATTAAACGACCTTCTTCAACACCTGTTACTATTGAAGCAAAATTATCATCTAATAATATCATATCAGCTGCTTGTTTGCTTACATCAGAACCAGCAATACCTTAAAAAAAAAATAATATAATTATTATGAAAAAACAAAACATTAAATTAAATTAAACCCATAGCTACTCCAATATCTGCTTTTTTCAATGCAGGTGAATCATTAACACCATCTCCAGTAACTGCAACAATAGCACCTTGTCTTTGACATCCTAATTAATATAAATAAATATATTTTTTGTTCTATATTTATTTAAATAAAAAAACCTTCAACAATAATAAGTTTTTGTTGTGGTGATGTTCTTGCAAAAACAATTTCTTTATGATTATTTAAAATATAATCTAATTGTGATGATGTCATATCTTTTAAATTATTTCCATGAACAACACAAGCTTTAGCATCAAGTGGATTAACATTTTCAATTAGTATATTTAATCTTTGTGATATATCTTCAATTGTTTCAGATTCTTCAGATATTATTCCAACAGCACGAGCAATAGCTTTTGCTGTTATTGGATGATCACCTGTTATCATTATTACTTTTATTCCAGCTGAACGACATTTTGCAACACTAAAATAAAATAAATTTAGTTTGATGTTTTTTGTTGGTTTTTATCTCTTTTATATTAATAAATGAAAAATAATAAAATAATAAATGAAAACAAACGCTTCAGGAACAGCTGCTCTTGGTGGATCAATCATTGACATAAGACCAAGAAAACGAAGATTTTCAAGTGGAAAATTCATTTTTTCAGGATCAAATTGATAATCTTTTGGATATTTATTTGTTGGTAAACGTAAATCACAAAAACCTAAAACACGTTCACCTAAACTTCCTAATTCGAGATTTGCACGTTGAAATTGATTTTTCCAAACTATATAAATAAAAAGACTAAAATGAATAAGAAAAAAATTTGAGGATAAAATATTACAATCATTTATTTTAATATCTTTTCCATCAATAAATATAGTTGAACATTTTTCAAGAATTGTTTCTGGTGCACCTTTCATAACTAATAAATAATAAAGACGAATATTATTTGGATCATTTCTACTACGCATTTCATGTATTGATAATTGATATTTATTTGTTGGATTAAATGGAATTTCAAATACTTTACGATTTGATTCACGATATTTTATTACATTACCTATCTATACTATGATTATATTTAGAATAAATAATTAGTTTTTTATTTACTGATAATTCAACACATTTAAGTAAAGCTGATTCTGATGCATCTCCAGTACATTCACGTTGTAAAACTGGTTTTGATAAATTTTCTGGATCTTGTTTAAAATCAGCTCGATTACATAACATTGCACAACGTGATAAAGCTAACCAACCAGTAGAATTTCTATCATATGTTACATCTTAATTTAAAAAAAATAAAAATAAATAAAAATACAAAAATATAAAATTACTTTGTTGATATTCACTTGCATCAGCTTCAACAATTC